GGCACTTCGTAAAGCATCATTACACAAGCCCCCAGCCCATAACCCTGAAAAATTGAATCAAGGCCCTCTACGGCACAATCCTTAGCGCCTGCAGCAACCTCACCCCTTGTAGTAGCAAACAGTGGCTTGCGACAAAGTCCCCGTTCTCGCAAAAATAATTAAAGGCACGACTATCCCACAACTAGATGCACAAACTAGACAACATCATATCACTCGGGGTATGTCCGTTTTGGGGTGGCCCACACTCTGCTGCAACAAGTAACACAGGCGGCCAAAAAGGTTCGTGAACTCCCCCCGTTTGGTGTGTCTGAACTATGGGGGTCGCCCTCTCAGAAGCAACACCGGAACAACAAACCGCGCAAGAAACGAGTACTGGCGTCCCCCTCGTAAGAAAAGTCTATTGAGTGTCCTCCAATCTGGTAGGTGGTGATTTGCACTAGGTTCCTTTTCCGAAGCCGAGTGTCTGGCTGGCGTGCAGCACAGAAAGTGTGCGGGGCAGGTGGCTCCCCCATTGGTGGTAGCGTAAATGGCCCCGCGGCCCGTCATAATTAGGCTTGGCATGCAAGCGGACTGAGGACAAGATGGGGGCTTAGGTAAGGGCTCCGAACAAAGGACCAAGTGATCATCGCCAGGCCTCAACAACTACATCACCTTTTCCCCAACAATGTCATGCATTTGCATCTGTGGAAAACGGAAAGCAGGGCTGCCGGGTTGTCGCATGCCGCTCGCCTGTATGCGCGGTCCACTTGCAAGTCAGTGTCCCCCTGGGTCTGCTCGTTGCTCGTTCCAGTGATGTCGCTCCCGTCATCGTCTGCCTCCTTACATCTGCTGCCTTCTTCCCTTGGCTGTCTCTCTGCACCCCCAAGATCTTCTCGTTATAGTTCCACCTTCCCCTTCTGTACCTGTACTCTTTCTGAGCTCTTGGACACGTGCAGTGGCGGTGACTTGGCCACTAGCTACCAGCTGTCTGTAACATGCAGTTTCCCTGTCGTGCTTATTGTGGCAGAACGGGCCATCCAAACACGCTCGATACTTCACTCCACATTTCTCGGAGCTTCTCGGCAAACTTACTCTGTTCCTTCAATAATGTCGTTTTTTTTGGGCTTGGCAGACGCATCTCTTTCCCTCCTGCCCTTCTTGCCACCCCCGCTCCGGGGCTATTTGACGAGCTTGCCATTTTCGAGGTCGTGGATGTCGTATAGTCGTGCTAGATCACGATGGGTTCCCCCAAAATATAGTATGCTCCGCTCCCCTACTGGCGGGCCACCCTTCCGCAAGGGGCCGCGGTCAAGGATTGGAAAAGGAAAGGGCCCGAGCCTTAAGAAGAACAGCAGCGGATATGAGACTCAAGCACCGCTGGAGAGAAACGCTCAGGCTCCCCAGAGGGCACAACCTCTGGTCAACCTTTTCGCCTCCCCCCCCGATGCAAGGAGGCGGCACAGGCCCCCAAGTACTCTCTCTCCTCTCTCTCTTCTGTCTCTTTTCTTCCACAAACACGCACGAACGACATCGATGCCTCCCAGAACGATGCTGCCCGGTTGTATCCAAGAAATCCTGAGCAGCTTTTGCACGCTCCGCAAGAGACTTCCGAAGGTACATGCGAGTGCAACAAAGCAGAAAATGTCAGTTGTGGCCAAAGCCCAGTTCAAGCACTCAGGACCGAAGTGAGATCTCTTAGAGGCAAGACTCTGCACCATCTTCTTGAGCTTGTCGCCCTGACAGGACATCGAATCCGGAGCACGGTAGCGATAGACAACCTTTTGTTGTACTGTACTATGCTACATGATTTAAAGCTATGATATGATGGTATATTGCTGCATTATTTCATTTAGCTGCGCTTGTAAATTTGTTGCGTACTATATTTTGTTATATTGTATTATGCCATGTTCTCTTTATGCCATAGTAAATTTTGCTCTACTACAATATGTTCTATACCATATTATGCCATGTTATGTCTCACTATATATATTGCCTTAAACACTAAGAGTCGGATGCATGCCATAAAACCACGCAGAATGCGGACGACCAGGGTTATGTTCATTCTACTATACTATACTTTACTCTAATCTACTCTACTATACCATTCTATACTGCACTATACCATAATGCACTATCCTATACTATGCTGTATAGCGTACTATACTATCCTATCCTACACTACACTCTACCATATCATAGTATATCATTATTCTGTGCCAACTATACTGTACGATACTATACTATAGCATACTACACTCTACTAGGTTTTAGTATGTTATGCCATATATTAGTATGGTACAGGATATCAAACTATGTCCTTTTTAATGTGTCATCTTATATTTTGTTACAGTGGAGTTTTGCATTAATAGCATTTCTTGTCTTGTACTGTTTGTACAATATCGTATACCCTAAAACCATAGTTCCAAGCCCAGCAGGCCTTTGTATTCACCAGGTCCTGCACAGCGGCTTCGTGCAGTCATGCAACAAAAGCTCCAAGGCTGTCACATCTCAAGATACATGTATATATATATATATATACACATACATACATACTTATATATGCTTAACAACATGACATAACATAGTCTACAATACTATATAGTGAAGCATAATACAATATAATATAATATAACATGGCCGTCCTCCGGCAGCGCATTAATGAGCTTGTTGCGGAAGCTGGCATTCAGCTCCTAGCGCCGCAAGCTGAGGAGGACCCCGAGTTCTCTGAGCACCATCTGGGTAGTTCGCTAGATTAGGGTCCCTTTTTAGGTCCCCAATCTAGTACGGCACCCTTATAAAAAGGACCCCAATAAGGGACCCTAATTTAGAGAACTACCCATCTGCAAGCCTCCCGCTTCTTCAGCTTGGCGACTTCCGCATCATACAGTGCCTTTTCCGGCAGCAGACAGCATGCAACACCGAAATGCTCCAGGTGATAGCCTAACGGAGTGCAAGACCGACAGACAGCATCACAGTGCCTTCCTGGAGAGGACAAAATAACGGAAGTCAACAAACCCTATAAAAAAATAAAAGAAGAATCGTTCTTAAAAGAACCTCTGAAGCCCCACCTAGTTGAATGAAAAATCAGGACTCATGATGCACCATGTATCAAACAGATTCAATACAAACATGCTAACCATCCTCCAGAACCCTGTAGGCCGAAAACCTCAGACCACTTTACCATCAGCTGAAACTTGCAAGCCGAGTAGCATCGAGTCGCACTCTGAAGACCAACAAAGCTCCGAGGTCGCCCTTCCGATGACTTTGGAGGTCTGCTGAGTCTAGCGGCTTGGGGATTGCGCATGAGGTTTCGGGTTGACGGGATTAGGGATGATTAGGGCTTTGTGACGTGGCCTTCCGGACTTGAAAGGAGTGGGACGCTGGCGGTAGTAGCAGCTATGTATCGAGTCGAAGCAAAAATACCCGAAGCCTCCAGCTGCTGCCGCTGCTCATGGCACTCCACCTGAAAGATCCGTTCTGAATTGCCCATGCTATCTGGAACTCTCAGATTTTGTTAGAAGGTTGCAGTTCAAGTTGCGCAGTCGCAGTGGGCTCGCTGCAATTGGCAAGCATTCCCATGCCTCAAGAACTGGGAACCCTGTCGCGTAGGAGAACCACGACGACAGTGCGCCTGACATCAGCAACCCATGATTCGCGCGAAGCCGCAATGCCATCTCCCGCTCCAAGCTGCACAAGAGGACAAATGACAACTGGAATTTTCAACTTCTTCAGAAACATTGCCGGTGCGCATGCCGTTTCGCCTTGCAGGACGGCTTGGCGATTTGCACCTTTCAGGGCAGCAATCATGTCCACGACATCCGGCACCGAGATCAGGATGTTCTTGGACTTGAACCTGCGAAGTACCTGGGGCCAGCTAGCGCTAAAGCTCAGAGGCAGACCGTAAGCACAGACAAGCGATTGCGCTGCGGGGGCACTTTGCTAATCTGCTGTCTGCTTTCGAACTCGACCTGACCCAGTCGGATCAATGCCAAAACCATATTCACACTGAGAAATGTCACCACAGCTTGAGCGTAGAAACAGAACAAGGAAAGGAAACATGCGCAGATTCTTCCCAGAGCAGATGACACACAGCAAGGGTCACATTGTACAATCGAGGAGCTTCAGTGCAGAAGCATTTTGACAAGGCACCAACAGACTATCACACTGCCAAGAAACAATTCAAGCTCAGACCCTCCTTAACTGTCTGAAACCCGCATGAATGCCTTCTATGGAAGTTCTACACTAATTCCATCAGATCCTTGGCCTGGGAACACTTGGGCCTGTGCGTTGCACACCGCAGTGGTCTGGCCTCCACGGTCTCAACAGTCTCAGCCTCCACTTTCTGCTTGTCAGCCAAGGGATTGGCGGCGTCCTCCGCCTTTGCCTGCTGAACGCTATACCCTAAACCGTCTTGGTCAAACTATTCGAAACAGTGCTTTACCAACCCATCGTGCAGCTCCTGCAGAAACTGCAGAAAAGAAGCCAAGTTTCGTATGGAACAGCAGTCTCAGCAGGAAGACCAAGCTTGACATTTTGCAATCGGTCTTCGCACACACACACACCAATATATATATATATATATTCTCCAAGCACGTTAGCACTGACCACTCCGCAGACTAAACGCATAGACACCTATTGCTTCACGTTTCTTCAAAGGATTATAGGCTTAGGTGTCAAAGCATCCTTCTACTCCCAGGTTATCCAACAAAGCCGCCTGGTTTTCCTACGTAACTTTTGGGAGCAGCTGACAGAGGAGGTATATCAAGCCACTGAAGCGGATCCACAACGTCAAGCTATGGAGAAAAGGAGCTAGCACCAAAGCGTGCACGGAGCTGCATACAGGGCATCCCTAAAAACTCTAAACCGTGATAAACACTCCCCCCTCATCCCCGGTCCTCAGGCAGGCTCCGGACACTTGCAGCCATGGCTTTCGATCCCTTGTCAATTGCACCTCGACCCCCGGCTATAGCTAGCGGCATGTCTACTGCAGTCAATAAAGGGGGGCTCATATTCATCGACTCTCCTACTACAAGCACTGTGATGTGCTACGCATACAAGTCCTTCTCCTGGTCTTGCTCTTCTTGCTGACGATCGTCTCACCCTTGACACAGGCGTACGCATGTTTTCTGTCCACTCACTCTGCTCCCCAGCGCTTCTGTCTTTGGATGCTTCTCAGTCTTGAGACTGACAGCTGAGAGCCCTTAACGCCAAAGAGCAGTCATACAAGCACCAAAGCGCGTATCGTGAAGGTTACAGACCCTGACAAGTCCGCCACTGCAATGGCCAGAAGCAAAGGACGCAGAAGAACTTAAACGCAGATAAGTGAATTACGACAAAATCGAAAACAATCATTGCACTGCTTCATCTGTTTCGACAAAGGGATCTTGAGAGTCAAGGACATATTGTAGCCGTCATCACAGGCAATGAGTCACCAACAAGAGCGAAAAACAGGCTCGATGAAAACACTAAAGTTAAAGTATGTTGCCATCCCGGACCAACAACTACAGGAACGAAAGCTCAGCATGGAGCTCTACTCATGGTCCTGGTTGCAGTGGCAGCCTTGATCCACATAACCTTTAAGCCTCTGTGCTATCATGCCGCTGTCGAAGCAGTAGCAGTGGCAGTAGCAGTAGCAGCCCCGTCGTCGTACTCAGTAGGAGTGGTACATCAACCGTACGAACGGCATTGGTCTCCTGAGCCATCGACTTGCCACAACGCAGGCCACCAATCCTGCTTCCGAGGTTCCTACGTCTCTGCGCGATCTATAGGCCGGAATATGCCCTTGACTGTCCATGTGCTGATGTCAGTGAAGGACAGCACGGTTTCTTGCGCAAACAGCGAGCTACCCGACGTCTGCCGTTTATGGTTTCAACACCTGCTGCAGCATACATGCCTGTTTTGAAACCTGAGGTGCACTTGTTGCTGGCTGCCCTGTGGGTCCAGAACATTCTGCAGCTTCGTGAGGTGGGTGGCCACACAGCTCACCTGACGAGAAAGCTTGTCGTGTCGGGTTGGCGAAGATGGTTCCACAACCAACTTCTGTTACTCTTGCCTTCACCACCATTCGGAAGGAGTCTCGCTTGTCTGCTGCACGGGCAGCTAAGGCCTCGACAGCAAATTCACTCCACAACACTGCAGGCTCCAGCAGCAAAACTCGCCACGTGCAGGCCTTGTACATGGCAGGATCCTTGTACGAGCAATTCAGCTTCTTCCTTGCGAAGGGTCAGCAGTCGTGAGTTCATGCCGTAAGCTCACGAGATCACCTGTAGAGGTCGCCGATGTCACGGGTTGGTTTGTCCACATCGTGCCAGGTGTTGGTCATCTCGATGAACTCGAACCTTGGAAAAGTCGTTCATGGTACCTACCAGAGCTCCAAAATACAATGTGAGCGGCCGGCGTCCGTCGGTATGACTCGTGCGACCCACCCATGTAGTCCATGGTGCCGACATGGATCTGCGAGGTTCACATATGAGAAGAGACGGGGGGCAAAGGGAAACAAAGCCTCTGAGCGAGGAGAGAGAAAACTCTTGGGCCAGCACTCGTCGAGCCAGCGCTGGCTTCAAGTGATCCGAAAAAGAATAAAGTGGCTTCTCCACAGCAGCCTGCAGAGCGAGCCAGGGACAGCAACTACAAAACATGGTGCGCATCCCCTTTTGGCCAGGAAAATCTCTGGTAGCGCGGGTATTGCGAGTGCGTCAAGCTGCGTGCTTCAAGGAAGGGATCCAAACCGTGCTGCAGATTGCCATGTATTTTAAAGACCGATCTTCTCTTCACGGGACAAAGCACATGCAGTATCCGCAATTGTCAACCAAGTCCTGCCTGCATTCGCATTAGCAATTCGGCCAGCTTCTCTGAATCCTCTCACGCATTGCTGCACCGGAGTGCGTCAGACAAAGAACTTCGCTGCAGCCCATCCGATACAAATAGTCTTGAACGCACTGGCTCCAGCGCATCCATCTTCTTTGGCAACTCAGACTTGGTGACCTGTCAAGCCCAAGGCAGCAAATCACCCAACTATCATGCAGCCTGCATCCTCGCAGATGTGCCCATGTAGGTGTCAGCAGGGCAGCGCACTATTATCCAAAAACAGCATCGGTCCTGAGCCTGAATAAGTCTGTACGCAACTGGTCGGTCTTAGCGTATCTACCAGTTCCACAGGAATCCTAGGCCACGGTCGGCAGGACATCTGTCAGCATCGGCTAGCCAGCGTGCAGACCACCATAATATTCTTCAGCAGTACTCGGCGGTGGTTCGAAGCGGCTGGGCTGAACCGAACGGCTGAACAGGCATCAGACCAATGAGAGCGAAAATGGGTGTGCAGCGAATTTGAAGCGAAACCTTCACATTTCACTGTGTACTGAATTCAAATCAGAGTCACGCACTTGAAACGCTGCTGCGGGCACTGGTGCCGGGCTAAACGACCACGGTGTCCAGTCGCGAAAACCTCTCTTACTCGAGGATTATGCAGGCTGCGAAAGGCGCTGCGCATCACCACATGCGACCGCTCTAAGACTTTGGAAAACCGCGCGAGGAGCCTTCTTACCCTGCCTGACTGAATTAGTTCAAAAATAGGCGCCATGCGCCATTTCTCGGGGCTCTGGCAGTGCACCTCAACGGTGTACCGGTGCACCTATCTGGTGCCGTCACGAAACCCCTCTCATCTCTGAACGAGCCCAGTCCGGCCCTTTAAAGGCAGACCGGACTGACAACGGAAACGAAATGCAGTCACACTAACTTATCACCCTCAGCACGAGCCACGTCCAATGTTGCATCCAGCATCCTGCGAACGAAGCGGAGGAAGATTTAGTCGAGTGAGAAACCGCAAAAAAGACAGCCCTTCCCCGTCCTTCCAAGCTCCCACACCACATCCTCTCCAGGCGCCCGGTGCAACTTGATCGCAGTCTCAACGATGGACTGAAGCTCCTGCGGCGAGTGACGAGCACACCAGCGGCTGATTTCGTACCAAGCCTCCGATGGCAGCAGGCTTGGCGGATTTGGCTTTGCTTGTCCAGCCAGAATCGTATCGAGCTTGGTCAGAAATTTCCCCCATGTTTCATCTGGCCGCTTTGCCCACTTCTTGCGTTGTGAGGCCAGCGAGTAAACTGCAGGAATGATCAGGACAATCTGCTCCGGAGAAACCTGCGACACATCCTTGCTTCCGATTGATTTGACGGCAAATGTGGAGTTCTCGTGGATGACCTGCAGTGTCGATTCAAAGTGCCGCTTCTTAGATGCCATCTTCGTGCGAAGTTTCGGCCGTACAGCACCCACGTCGTCAATCTCTCCGGCCTGATTGGCGCTTCGCACACTTTCGTGTTGTGCCTCACCGGATCGCGTCTTCATCGCCTTCGCTGCCGGGACAAGCAAGACCAGGTAACTGCTTCCGCAGGAGGCCAAAGAGAGCCATGTCTTCGCTTGCTCGGAGGTAAGTAGTGTAGAGGACGCGGCACAGATGAGAAAGCAAACGCTGCTGACAGTGGACTCCAAGGAGAGCTTCATGCAAACCGCTCTCTCCTTTCAGGGAACCCGAAAGCCATGAAACCTCACAAAAAAGACCCCTTCTGACCCTTCTGTGCCCTTCTGTGTCCTTGTCTCTGGTCCACAGGGTCACAGCCAAAGCCAGCGCGGATGCCAGCAGGCACAAGAAGCACACCAGGCGATGGCAAAATCCTCCAACGGAATTCCAAGGTGAGTCTAAACAACATGAAGCATGAGATCATCGCGATTGCACAGCTTCCAAAAAAACTCGACAGGGTCCTCCGGATTGGGATTGCTGCAGATGTAAATCGAGCAGCATGTACTCCATTTCTTTGAATGGCTTGCTACCCGAGCTCACTAAGCAAATGACCAGTGGTTTGCCCAATGAGAACATGTACTTAACATGCTACATCAGCGCTTCTGCTGGTGTCTGCTGTAATGACAGGAATTGCGACAAAGTACTGCAACTAACACTTCCAAAAGGGGAAACTCTGAAAAAAGCCCACCTGCAGATAGTCGATTGCTTTGATCTGAATGCTCCCTAAGTGTGGCAAGGAAGCATAGCGAAGCATAGCAGAGGGAGCCTGATTCAGATCCGCCAAATTCTTCACCTACCGCCCAGCGATACTTGGTGCGAGCTGCACAGCCAGAAATCCGAGATACTGACCAAAGATCGCAAACCAGGCCGCCACCAGGTGTGAGAGCCTGAAGGCGGCCAGAGCGCCGCCAGCATAACAATGCAATGCTCGGGCCCAGGCTCATGACAAGCTCGATGAGGTCTTGATGGGGGCTGCCCAAGCTTTCCCTGGCAGATCAGCCGCGTCTTAGAAGCTATGGTCGCTGTCTCACTACACCGAGCTGGAGACACCTGTGCACACTCTGCCATGCCTGTACCGCTCTGGAAGGAGGTCTTCAAACGTCTCAGAGGAGAACCAGGCACCCTCCGCAACCGCATCCTGGACACGAACCGGGCTGGCTGCGGTGCAATCCGGCACATTGCGCAGCGCAAGACGTGCGAACCAATGCAACACATTGACACGTATAGACATCAGGGATGACCAGTGTCAAACGTCTTCTCCCACCTTCAAAGCTTCTGTTTGTCCTGGGTCGAGCTAGTTCGGATTTGGTCGCTTCGCTTCACATCTACAGCGTGAGCAAGAGAATTCCGACTACAGAACAACGTGCTTCAGCTACTGCAGAAACGGTGCGGGTGGGACACTGCTGACATTTCTGAGCCGCCAACTATCTTGAGACACCTGTCCAAGCATGGCTTCTTAGCCAATGCATGCAAACATCTCACAGATCAGGACAAATGCCGATGCCATCAAGCCGCTCCAAAATACCAGATCCCTGTGCTTGCCGCCACCCAGAGTTTCAGGACCGCTGCCTCAATTTTGGGGGCCGGCAGTTCTTCTGCCGTGTCCACCAAGCCTGCAGCGTGCTCCGGGCGAAAGAACTGCTTTCTTTTGGATTCCGGGGCCTAAGGACTCCAGACACAGGTCAGCATTGCGAAGAAACTCACACCGTCATGTGATTTATGTGACTGCCCCCCACGACGCCCACGAAGAGCCCCAAAGCAGCTCCAAGCTGCTTCCTGCCGCTGAAGTCCCGGTCCCTTGCTCATCACACGCGGCGCGGTGCCTTCCAGCTGCGCCTCCAGCCCGGCGAAGGGGTCCGCAGCGGGGTCCTGAGCTCGGTGCAGGGCACGATCATCTCGCGACATCCATACCACTCTCCGGGATTTCAGAATTTCTATGGCAAGGCACGGCTTCGGTGACTGGCTCCTCCGGCGGCTCCTCTTTTGGCTCTGGGAGCTCCTTGGGAAGCTCCTTCGGCTCCTTGTCCTTCCTGGGGGATCCACCGCACATAAGAGCTTGCTCGAAACTGGGAGACTTAACCGGAGAAGCTCAGCACAATCAAACAGAACATCAACGGCCTGCGTCACACCGACTGCAGTCTCACTTGGACATTCTGGGGCTCCCACTTGGCTTTCTTTCGCTTGGAGGCTGGCGATGCTGCAGGTGTGTCAACGCCCTCTTGCGCATTCACCTTAGCAGATCATGCGACAGTCGTGAAGTGAGCACATCTGCAGAAATCCCTAGAGAATGCCTTGCGGTGTCACCCATTCCAGAGCTTCGCTAGACATGGAGATGTTCGGGTGTGCACGTAGGGTCTGGGCTCCACGCCTGAAGGCTTTTGGTCTTCAGATTGTCCTTCCCGGCAGCGGTCCTTCTTCGCTTTGGGGAGGAGACTTCCTTCGTGTCGCCGGCTGCAGGAGCAGGAGCCGACACAACCTCCGCAGAAAGATCTGGTGACAGTCGGGTAAGCATCTGGACATCCTGGGGCAGAGGCACTTCCTCCCACACGCGGCATGTGCTCAGCTCACAAGACTAATCTTTGTAGTCTGACAGGCTCCTGCTTTGCCAATGGACACTTCAAACCCTATCTGCATGTGTGTTGTTTCTGTGTCTGTCATCCGATCCATGTGTAGTTATATCTGCAGTTGCTTGCTATCGTTTGTACCGGCTCGGTCTCGCATGTGCGTAGCAGTTCTTGTTGCTGTGCGAAGCAGTGCTTCTCACCTATCTGTACCCGTTTACAGGCGGGGGTGGTTGCCTTCCTGTCCCGCTTAATATTCAGCCGGAGGGTCATTTGGCCATGTCGTCATGTAGATGCTGTGTAGTTGTGTGTGTGTGTGTGTATGTGCTTCACGCACTCGCCTCATCAAGCGCATGAAATGGCTCGACAGCAAGGTGTGACGGCACAGTTACATGGCAACGGCTTGGCTTAACACCGATATGCAAACGCTCGACTTTGCTTCGGCACGCTGAAGCACGGTTCCTACCAGCAACAGAATTCTGAATTAAGGGTGCTGCAATGAATTAGGTCCAAGTTGGACTAGCAGGAGACCTACCGAAGACACTAACATGATGGTGCATGTGCAATCTTTGCGCACTTGAACTTTCAAGCCGTCTGCTCAGCAATCTCCGCGTCCGGGACCGCCCCCGGGTTCCAGCAAACTAAGAAAGAGAGGAATGCTGCCAAACAAATCTGCGCGGTGAACCTTGCAACAGCGTTAGCAGTCGGTTCCAATACAGACGGAGAAATGCTGTGCAACGTGTACAACCTCGGCACCCGGCGCATTCCCCGCCTGGGCTGTTCAGTAACTCACCGAGAAAGGTAAATACTTCTTTGGGCTAGTTACCTAAAATCTAGAAACCCAGAAACACAACAAAAAGTTGCACTACTGAACAACCCAGCTGCCATATCATTCAACTGCGTTTCAGTCAGCAGCTGTTCCATTCGGTAGGCATTTATTTCCTCCGGTCCGACACCCTGTAGAAAGCATTTCTCCTGACAACAGAACGCTCATGTCGCTGTCTACCAGAAGCTGGGAAACCGCCGCCTGCGGCGTCTCCACAAGCAAGCCCCGCCTGCTTGTCCATGAGCCTCCATGTCTGGCCAGTGACGATGTACTTGCCTTTCGGGATCACGCAAGGCGCGATCCTGTGATCCGACCGATGCCAAGATCTTCCGAAGCCCTGGTCCTCAGACGGAAGGGCGTGAAGGTATTCGGATGCAGGTGTAGTAGTAGTCGTCGTCGAAGTCGTAGTCGTAGTCGTAGTCGTAGTCGTAGAAGTAGTCGTAGTCGTAGAAGTAGTCGTAGTCGCTAGTAGTAGTAGTAGTAGTAGTAGTAGTAGTAGTAGTAGTAGTAGCAGGAGTAGTAGTAGTTGTTGTTGTTCCTGTTGTAGCAGCAGCAGCAGTAGTAGTAGCAGTAGTAGTAATAGTAGTGGTGGGAGTAGTGGTAGTGGTAGTGGTAGTAGTAGTAGTAGTAGTAGCAGTAGTAGTAGTAGTAGTAGTAGTAGTAGTAGTAACCGTTGTCGTCGTCGTAGTAGTAGTGGTAGTGGTAGTAATTAGAGAAGTATCAACAGCGGCATTGTCCATCGTGTGATTTTTTCCGACAGTCTTGGGGATGATCTTGTTCGTGGCTGCACCCTGTCAATCAGTGCTGTGACTCCGGTAAGCAATCTTAAACAGCACTACTAGGCTTCAAGAGCCACATGCTTAACTTTAGATGCCTCCAGGCATCCACTTGAATCACAACCGGCTCCTTCCACACGTCTACATTCCGAGCTTGGAGTTCGTATGCTGCGAGGGCTACCACATGGATCTCACGAAGGGTCAGAGGCAGATCCATGGACAAGACTTCTCGGACTTTGAAATCCAGCTGCTCCTCCCGCAATGAGGGCTGTGGCAGTGGTCTGGTAAGTCACGAACGGCAACACTACCGGGGTAGAAGCAAGGAAGCGAAAAAGTTGGAAGCGCCAGTCACCCCGCCTCCCCGAGCCTCTTCGCCAATTCTGCAAACTGTCGACTCCACTTGGCGCCTCCTTCGCCCCTTGGCTTTTGCACTTTCTCGCTTGGCAGTCGCCTGGGGCCTTTGGCTGCCAGCACGTTGGCCAAGGGCACCACTTCGCATCGGAAGGAGAGGAAAGTGTTCGATAGGGCAACTTCTGCCTCGAGGCCGCCGGGCCCCGTCCGCGAAGACGTCTTCCGCAAGTACCTGAGGTGACAACAGCTGACCGACATTGGCATTCACACAGGCTTCAGGAAGTTGAAGCCTACCAAGGTAGGAACCCACAATCTGCGAGCCGAAAATCCTAACGCCCCAACCTTTTGAACTCGTCCTTGCCGAGCCTAGCAGAGCCCCCGTCATAAGGATCCGCGCATCCGAAACCTCTGGCCGAACCTGCATCACTGAAGCACCCAACTCCACGACCGTGAAACGGTCACGAATGAACGAATATACTATGCCTTTGCTTAAGGACCCATGAACTCCCAATTTCGGTCCGGCAGCAAGCTCCATGAACGATTTCGGCTCTGGGGTGGCCCGAACTCGTGCGCGGAGACCCGATGCGAAGAGGCCAGAAAGCCTCCGCCAGGGATTTCAGGATGCTGCTGGCGCGTTTAGAATTTTGGCATTTTCCCGTTTGTTGTACGTCATGATTCGGATGACTACGGTCATGGTACGAAAGTCGCCGACGTATGTCAATGGTGATGATACTGATGATGGTGAATCTTGACCATCACCACCACCAGTTCCTCCGTCACTTCCACCACCAGTTGTTGTTCTTGCTGTTGCTGTTGTTGCTGTTGCTGCTGCTGTCCCCTGTCACATAAATTGCCACGGCTGTCGCGAATGTCTGCAAGAAACTCATCAAACGGTGCCTCTTTCTCGAAAGGCCATATCCTGAATGTCGATGGGCCGCTCAAAGTGATCTTCTCTTCGCTTGTGCCACATGTTGCCACTGTTTTCCACACCAAGGAAGGCCAGCCTGCCGCACTTATCCACCACCTGCCAAGCGCGTCGGAAAAGACCTACTGTGAAGGTCGCTCAAAACACCTCGCCTGTAGCATGTTGGCATAGCCCTTGCCGGTGGCAGTGCTTGAATCTTTGAATTGCCCGGGGCCCGTGTTGAGACTGGAGAGGTCGACGCACGGATACCCCACGAAACCACCATCGAGATCCTGCGTGCAACTTTCCTTTCGATCTCGCAACTGACTGTTTCGACTCATGCTTTTAGAACGGGGCTGTCCATGGGAACAAGGAGTCTTCGACCGCTTCGGTACTCCCAGGCACAGCCGCTGGCCACCTCACTGGCATCTGTGAAGATGTGCTGCACGTCCTTGAACGCCTCGGCCAGGTAGCGGCACTTGTCCAGGTTGGATTCGCACATCCACGCGAATTCCACCTTCCAGTCTAAAGTGGAGCGTTGCATTGTGTGTTCTTGCTTGTCGGCTTTACTTATGTCCGGCCTGAAGCGCATCCCCTGTCCCCTTCAGCGACTTGAAGACACGGCTCACAGCGCTGGCCACCATTTCCGCCGTGCCCCAGCCAGTGTACATGGAAAAAAGCCGCAAAGGCTTGCCTCGCGCAGCGTTTGCAGAGATGTCACCGAGAAGGTCAGCCTTGCGCTCAAAGTTCCAGCGGACAAAGCCTTCGACCTCTCCACAGGATTTCAAACTAAATGTATACAACATGATGACACGGTTTTGACCAAGGATAGAGCTGAAGGGACAGCCATCGGCGGCTTAGGGCTTTGAACGCCACAATGTGCGCCATGGGCTGCACAATGCCTGGAACTTGACATGGAGACTCCCACGTGCAAAGTAAGGACCAGAAACCTCAAAAAGATCATCCGAAGCACTGCTGGGGCTTCGTGTGGATATGGGAATCGAGGCCTTCAGAGGTCCATGTCCTGCAAGGTAACTTGCGGACATGCACGTGAAAACATGCTTGCAAACTTCCAAGCATCACAATGTCCTCAAGCTTTCGGTGTCGCGGCGGGCCCTTTTGCAGTCGTGCATATAGCATTGGCTTCAGCTGATACAGACCATACCCCCTTTGTTCTGTCAACATGCCTCAAACGTATCCAAGACTTCATGCACACAAAATCCTAACGGAACCAGCTCAACGAGCAGAAACAGCAACTGTGCAAACACACAGTCAATGGAAATAAAAGCCCCTTCACTATGCAACTTGACGTTATCTTCATCTGGGTAGTTCTCTATATTGGGGTCCCTTGTAGGTCCCCAATGCAGTAACGCACCCTCGCAAAAAGGACCCTAATTTAGAGAACTCCCCATATGGGCTTGAAGCATACCGCCAAGTCATTTCACGGAATGTCAGACACAAAGATGGGCAACAGTGCCGAAACACACACGAGTTTTGTCAAAAAATGCAGGCTCGAGGTCCGGCTTACAAAAACCATGATTCAGATAAACTTCTGGTCAATCAATCAGTTCAATTCGTCATGAATGATAAATCGTCATCATGTTTGCTGGGCTAGACCCATCGTCAAATTTGAACCAAAACGAACCAGCATGAGAGCAAACCCATCTTAGCAATTATCAAATATGATCAGTCTCTTGTACGAGTTGATCATGGCACAAGTCTGTGATGTTTCAAAATTCCCTCGGACGTCTTCATTCTACCGGAACGAGCACGAGCTGCCGCCGTCGCAATACGACTTTTCCGGGTCTGGATTGAAGCTTCGTCAAAATCTGCACGAACCTGAAGCCAGACGGCATTGGACCGCACACCAACAAGGCTCCACTGCAAGAGCATCCACTGCTTGGCTTAACCCGTGGGTAAAATGGCAATTCAAAAGGTTCAGGAAACATCTCATCGGTCGTCGTCATTCTCCATTCAGCCAGCAAAATCAAACAACTTGAACAGAACGCAGCTATGACATTGTTCTACATGTGTCAGTTTCAGTCTGAAGCTTCGAAAGTTGAGGTACGACACGATCGGTGCAGTGTCTGTTTTTTGAATCGTTGCCTACCGGGCTTTACAGAGCACAGTACAGTTGGACCCCCTTTTTTGACTGCTGGCGAAAACCAGTCACCGATCGTGTTACACGGTCGCCCATCCTCTCATAGGATCCAATTGACTCCAAAAGTGCCAGAGTGACCGGTGCAAGTCTCAACGCCGGGTGCTTAAGTGGCATGCGGAGCCAACATCCTCGGTCTCATAGCCTCTTGGAGTTCGGTTACCACCTACGGGTTACTTGCCACCTTTCGCCGACAGGCTCTGCAGTGTTTTGGCTTAGCACTGGCTGCTTCTTAGTATCTGCAGCCTCTGCAGTTTCGCAAATAGGGAGATTTTGCTTCTTTTCCCTCGGATTTGAGCACAGAGACCTGCCTCGAGACTTGCACGTAGCTGTGTTCTGCCCAAGTGCGCTGCAGCTGGGACATAGAGTTGTTATCTTACGTGTGCAGCCTCTAGGATCTCCGTATTTCCGTCCACACTTCCATCCGGCTAAGCGTAGCAAACCACGAGCCACTTCCCACGAAATGTACCCAAGTATGTGGCTCGAACGTGGCAAGACCGCGTCCCCAGACTGGTCAAGCGAAGTCAAAGTGAAACATCTGGTGTAAGACATGGCTCAAAAGAAGACGTAGTTGAACTAGGCATTCTGCCGTCTGTTTTTGCTGGCACGGACCTCGTCATCTGCATTCCGCAGCGCTCAGTCTCCACACGAAAAACAGAATGGACGCAGCAACGACCTTTCTCCATGCACTTGACTCGAAGACTCTGCACTGTGCATCAGATTTTGTGATGCACTGGACATTGTGTTTCGTCACATCACTCTTTGCATTTAACTCTCTGCCCACATTTCGCCAACACAGAGCAGATGCGCGCCGCGAAAGTCAATGCACCGCAATGAGAATCGCTAACAAGCCTGAACAGAGACAGAGTGTGTGCGTGCCAAGGCACCATGCGGCGGTCGCCCAACAAACGTTGTGAGAAACACTCGCAAAATTACAGTAAACGGACATTGGTGCGTATTTTCTGCAAAAGTGTCGAATTCGACAGGCCATGATTCCGATTAAGAAAGAACCAAAAAGTACAACGTTGCAGCCAGCCAATGACCCCAGACTGAGAGTGGCCAACACGAAAAGCTTGTCAACTTTCCTTTCTGCAGGTGTAGAATCGCTCCAAGTTTGGCAGACAGCTATAATTTCGAAACTGTACATTAAACTTCTACCGAATTAAGACTGGAAGACCAGCATGTTGCAACATAGATCCATTCAAAAAGAACAAAAAAACACCTGCAAGGCACGTGCAAGTCCATCTTGTGCATGGAAGTTTTGGAGAGACTCCTCACTTCCCCAAGCCTGCAGGAAACCAGTGGGTGCCCCATTATCAAAGTCACCAAGCGCATTCAGGCCATTTCTGCTACGCTTCTAGCTGCCAAGTTGACGCCATGGCCAAGAAAGATGGGGTCGACAGAGGAGGCTGAGTGTTTAAAAAGCACAATGGCCTGGTTTGCGAATCCTATGACATGCAAGAGATCCGAGCACATTGGTCTTTCATGTTCAAGGTACCACGGACAGATTGATTTTTTTTTACAGCTGCTGAAGTTTGGTCGGAGACTGGAAAAGAAAACCAAGTGTTGTGCTTACTCGTTTTCCACCACGATTTTCTCAAAAACTTCCTACAAGCTCAGACCAGTTCCAACCAAATCGGTGCTTTTGAAACACTTCGTCTTAGAGCGCACTTCCAGCCACCTTCATGGCTGCTAGCAAGCTCCTTCACTAGAAAAACACCTCGTGAGAAAACTTGGCTACGACGACACTTGGCCAGAAAGCTATTCGTTTCAAGTGTCTCGGAAGACCAGAGCTGCACGACTGCTTTGGAGTCGTCGAGAAACGATGGGAAGGCTCCATCTCGGTGAGTCTGGCTGGAGGAGCTTTGGTGCAAGGTGTTACGGCCAAGGACGTCAGCTCGGTGACTCTTGAAGAAGTGGAGTCGGCCAGTGTGAGAAGTGCTTGGTGAGCACCTGGGCCTTGCAAGCTCAGGGAAGCGTCCTTGCCGGGAAGTCCGAAGGGCCAGAAGGGCCTCCGGTAACGGAGCAGGCTGCCTATGCCCCAATGCAATCGCAGGAGAACATGCTGGAGCAAGCCAAGAATGTCAAGGACTTGCTGGTAACAGTGGCATGGGCGATCGGCTCTGCTACCAGTGTGGGCGAAGTCTTTCTGGCAGGTCGGTCTTCTGGAGCCTCTGGAGAGAAGGTTGAAAGTGTTTCTTTTGGCCCAGGGCCTTGGGCCGAGGAGTGGGCACCCCGCGTTTCAAAGAACTCAAGAAGAAGCTTGAGGAGTTGGCTGCGGCAGGTGCTGTCTCGCACTCGTTAGAGGCCTTCCAGGCTCAAGAGAGCCTGGCGTGGCAAGACGAGGGAGACGAAGGCCCGGAGGGCTGGGAGGCCTCTCTGCCTCCGGATCTCAAGCGGGCGGGGCCCGAGATCTATGCGTCTATGAAGGCAGCCGGGGTGCGATGCGTTCGCGACTGGGTGAACAGCATGTTCAGCGTAGATCAGAGACACTCTGCTCATTATGTTGATCTTTTCAACCTGGCGTCTCTGGTCGACTTCAAGGCGAAAGAGGGAGGCGCGTCGCAAGCGAAGATCCTGAGCATCATCGCGCAGGATGACACCTGCGAGGTGGCGCTGCGCCGCCTAGCGGCCTGGATACATGAACGGCGCACCGGGGACAAGGATGCCGCGCACAGCATGCTTGCGATCAAGCCGTCTTCTTTCTCTTCGGATGTGGCGCCGAGCTGGTTGGTGACGGAAGCGGCTTCCTACAGCCAATCGGAGCATAAGCGCCGGGAGCGCGCGCGCGCGGGCAGGCCGGTGGTCACCATGGTGGGGGCAACAGCAAGGGCGGCGAGCCCAAGGGCGGTAAGGGCAGAGGAAAGGACAAGAGGAAGGGCAGGGGCAAGGCCTCCACCCAGGGCTGACAGGAAGGCAGCCCTCGTGAAGCGCAGAGATCTGATCGAGGGCGAGTCTCTTTTTCTCTGCCCGGAGATTTGATGCATGATTTTCCGCATGAACTTCGCTCTAGTGATCGCCGCCTTTTTCCCTTGCCTATGCCTTCGGTTCCGCAGCAGCCTCAGTCGGCATCTCCGAGACTTCGTAAGAGGTGGCGGGAGAGACTGTTACTGTGGAAGCTGGTTTCAAGGTGGGTGCTTTTTCTTAACGGTTTGTACAGTTCGTCTTTGCGGGAGCCTAAGAAGCACTACGCCTCTGTGGCTGCGTGGTCCTCACGAAGCAGAGCACAAGAGGCAGTTCTGCGACGGCTTTGGGATCACG